TTGGAAAGTCAGCAAACTGTCCAACAGGAAAGCTTTGGCACCTTCTTATTATCTCTGACAATATGTCAAGTGGCAAAAAAAAGCATTTGCAAACAAGAGGGAGAAGAACGTGCAAAGATTCTAGTTTTGGTGCTATATTGGGAGGTACTCAATGTGTTCAGAGAAAGACAAAGTTATCATCATTTTATCCTTGGACAAAGATTTTTCCCCCTTCCCCAGTTAAGGCAAAATGGTATTGGCCATACTAAAGAGAACAAAATAGACTCATAAAGTTGAAAGAAGTAAAGCCACTTTTTAGAACAGCAGTCATTAAAATGTACTGTTAACCCTAGAAAAGTTCTGTTCCATGGTGTGTGATGTACTGCAACAAACAAACATTACTTTGTTTTCCATATATTACTGTTGGTTTCATTATACTGTGGTATTTCAGCTTCTATTTCAAATGTTTCCTCTTGATGATAAGTAATGGCATGTTATAAGATCCAAAGAAGGGTATTGAGGAAGACATTAATTTAGCATCAGAATCAAATGATCACAACTACTTGTTTGCTTCCAAAGACAGCATGGCACAAAGCAAAGTACATGGGGCTTTTCCCTAGCCTAGTTCTTCTCACAAAATAATGCAAATCAATTATTAAAAAACCATGCTGCTTTCTTAATTTTCTCATGTTCAGCTCATTTCTAATTTTTAGATGGTCTCTGTATGCCAAGGATACCCTCCTCTTGTTTTGCACTTCCTTTTTGACTTCACATCTTGGATAATTTTTGTGATAAGCTTCCTGTGGTATCCTGGTGCTCCCTCAGACCTACCAGGTGAGTGTGGAGCCACCACAGCCCCAGCCCAGGGGAATCCCTGATCCTGCCTGTCTCCCATCCAGGTCAGTGGTGCCACAAGCAATTCTCCTTTTCCTGCAGTAGCTGCTCCCCATTTCCTGTCATCTGCTACTCTGTGAACCCACTGAGACACTTTTTTCATTTTCACTCACTGACTTTTTCCATGTTCTGATCATCCTCCCTTCTGAGGTTGGCGATAGACATCTTGCTACCTTGTTCCCTGCTTTTGCTTCAGTTAACTGCTGCTAAAATATTCCTTTGCCTCCCCCATTTTTTCACACAACCAAGGCTTTGCACAGCCTTCTCCTTGCACTTGCCTTTGGTTCCTTATTCTTCACTCATGCCTTGTTTTCCCCCATTCTCTCATATAATTTTCGTACCTTAGCACAGGAATTCTCTCAATTTCTCCATTTATTAATTATTCTTGCCCGTCATTCTTGTTCCTCTTCAAGAGCCAACACAGCCCCTCATGGCAATTTTTTGTTTGCAAATACTCAACTGCACTCATTTGAGGGAACTGTGTCAGTGGCTGTACAGTTCCCACATATTTGTATAGCCCTGGACTGATTGACTAAGCAGTCAATACCAAATCAATACCCCAGCTATGACAGCAGTATTTTTGCTTTCTGGAATAGAATACTTTTGCTTTTAAGTTTATTCAGACTGAGAGATAATTCCTTCAAATAAAGTAGTGGAATCCAGAGCATCCATCAAATCCAAAAAGTGTTCAAATGTGATGTATCTTGCTTGGAATGCCTCTCTTGCCTGCATTACTCTCTTGGGATGGGAAATAGGAGAAGGCAGCAAAACAATAAGAGTAATGAATAATCACATACTTAGCAAAACCATTAAGTTTAGAGCTTGAAATTTGTACAACAATCTGGATTTTGCTGCAATTTAATTTCATTGATATTACCACTGAAAGGCAAATGAAACTGGAAAAGATGTATTCCCAGAAAATCTATTATCAGAAACCCTAAAAGATTATCATAAATTTAGGCATTTCTATTTTTTACACAAGACTCAGAGGAACACTGCCTGCCCTGTCTAGTTACAATAAAGACCTGCTGGGCAAATGAAGGTCACTTGAATTTTTTAAAACTTAAAACTTTGTCTTCTGCTCACTCAGAGGGAAATACACCAAAACCATAACCAACTTTTCCTGGGTTTGACAATCACAAAAGTTCTCTTTAAGTTCTCTCTCTCACTATTGACTCACAAACCACGGCATCCCAGGGGACTGTGCCCTCTGAAACGAGGAGTGAGTAATCAGGAAAAAGATGTTTCCCCTCTTCAAAGTATCCACTAAAGCATTCATCCTTTCAAAACTTCCAAGCTACTATTTGTTTGGGTTGTAAATCTTACAGCAACGATATTGACAATGTTATTGTAAACATTGTAAAATGTAAATGAAATTGTCAAAAATATAGACCAGGTCATGGAGACTTCTTCCAATATGGCACAGGGTGAGTTGGTCTCATTTCATCTGTCTGGGAACACAGGAACAGCAAAGCCCAGAAAGAACAGTTTGATTATTAGACCTGTCTCAAAATAAAAGACTTATACTCTTCTACAGCTTGGAAAGGGACTTTTTTTTAATTCAATCAAGAGACCTTTGGAAAGAGTTGATACTATGAAAGAGGCCAACAGATTCAGAGAACAAATACTTCAGTATGCATCTGAAAAATTACTCACCAGCTCTGACTGCCATTTTGTTTACTGCTGTGGAAGGCTGCAAAATGTAGTTGTAATAAAGCAGACATTGAAGAGATGTATTAAAACACCTACTTATTGATGGATATATTCTTATATATCTTATTCTTATCAACTCAATGAGCTGATTTGCTACTGTAAACAATAAATGTCACTTTACAATAAAACAAAATAATTGATTTATCAAGAAGAAACCACGGGGTGTGATTATTAAGTAATGCATGCACTGCTCGGCAATTAAAAAGTACTTGCTGCATTAATTATTGGAATTACTACACATGGGTAGTTTACAGTATTTCTTTATCTTTTCAACATTTTACTCTTCAAATACCAAATCTCACCAATCCAAATATTGCTGGCAAACTGGAAAGCAGAGGACAACTCTCCAGTTACCACAGTCAGGTAAAAAAAAAGTCTTGTCCTTAGGAGTCCAACATCATCACACACCTCTGCAGACCACACAAACCATAAACGTCTTTGAGCTCCAAACTATCATTAGATAGTTTTTATTGAACTCTCAGTCAATACTAAACTGGTTAGCTGGCAAGTTCATAATCACCAGAGGTAATATTCACAGTTCAGGAGATGGGGTCAAGCAAGAGCTGGATGTACATGCGTGATTTCCTACTTTCATGATAAAAAGTGACAATCTTCAAAATACCCAGTATTGATATTTTAAAAAGGAATCTTCTCAGCCAGAAGAGTCTTTGGCTTCACATCACTTGAGCCACAGTAGGATTTTTGGTCAGAAATAAAATTTTGGAAATAATTCAGTGCTCAATACCAGCGACTTTTATTAACCATTATCACATTCAATAACCCTCTCCAACTTGTTCTCTGAGCAGTGCAACTCTCACATTCACATGAAAAATCAAGAAGGGAAAAACAACAAACACAAGACGATGAACAAAAGCCACAACTGTGGCAAAGCCAGACCATACAACCACTACTGATCCCAGGTTACAGGGAATGGCTGTGAGGTGAGAACAATGAGTCTGAAACTCAGTAACAACTGGAGCTGGCTGGCTACAGAGCCGAGGTGTGAAGAGCTGCTCAGAGAACATCCTCATGGTGCTCCTTCCTACCGACAAATAAAATATTGAAAGGACACAACACTTTACCTGGAGAAGCACATCCTCCACAGCCCGAAGCCGCAGGAACACGACATGGTGCTCATCAGCCTCCACAGAGAGCAGCCCTTACCTTTTCGGTGGCCCCGGCATCCTGCTCAGGCTTCTCCACACCGCGGCTCCTGCCTCCTCTGGAGTCCATCACTGCTGCAATGTCCGGCTTCCCATCACCATGAGCACACTCCTCTTCACGGAATCACCAGTTCACAGCATCACTCATGGTGAAAGGGACACGAGTGGGTCATCTGGTCCAACCACCCTGCTCTAGGCTCACCCTACAGCACATGGCGCGGGATTGCATCCAGGCCGTTCTTGAATATGTCCGGACTCGGGTCGCTCAGGGCCGGGTTCCTGTGGGAGAAGCTCCTCAGGCTCTGCAGCGATGGCCGGCGAAGGCCGTTGGTCAGTCAAGGAGCTGCCCGGCTCACTCGGCATCACCTTCACACGTTCCCCGTCTCTCAGGTAAGCACAGCGGCCATGGGGCGACATTTCTCTTCCAAGAAACGGCATGGACGCCTCTAAAGTGGCGATGGTCGGTGGCTGCGTGTGGCCGCGCATCCCCGATCAGCTTCAAAATTCCAACCACCGCCTCCACGTGAAGGGCAGGTGGCGGGAGGCCGCCGGCTTTCACATCCCCGAGTGGGCTGGCGAACCTGCAAAATGGCTGGGGGACAGCCGGAGAGGCATCGCCGTGCCCGGCGGGGAGCGGGGGCGAGAGGTGTCCCCGAGCCCCGCCGCGCTGCCCGGGCCGCCGCTCCTGGGGCGCTGCCGCCCGCTCGGCTCCCTCGGCGATGGCCATGGGCGGCGGGGCGGCCACGCGGCGCCGGGGGGGCGGAAGGTGCCAGCAGGGCCGCCCGAGGCCCCGCGCCCGCCTCTCCCCGTGGTGACCTTGGGCGGGCGGCGCGGCCCTCCCCGCCGAGCGCCCGCTCCTGCACCCACCCCTCCCGCCCGCCCCTGTATTGCTTCTTCTTCTTTTTTTTTTTTTTACTTATTATTTTTTATTTATTTATTTTGGCCGCGGAAAGAGTTTGAGGCGGGGGGGCGGGGGGGGGGGGGCGGGGGGAGGGAGGAGGAGGAGGGAGAGGAGGCCGCCGTCAGAGCGGCCCGGGGACTTTCCCGGAGGGAGGGCGCGGAGGGGACCCGTCCCGGTCCCGGTCCCCGCCCGGGGCGGGAGGCGGCAGCGGCGGGCGGGGTGTGAGGGGAGGGCGGGGGGCGCCGGCCCCGCCGCCGCCGCGGGGGAGACGCGGCTCCCGGCGCTGTGCGCCCGAGCTGCTGCTGCTGCTGCTGCTGGTTACGCCAGCCCCGCCGCCTGCCTCTCCGCTCTCCTCGCCTCTGATTCTGCGCACAGCCAGCCCCAAAGCCTGTCATTCTGCAAAACACAGTTTACTCAACAGAGAGAGCGAGTGGGGGAGCGGGAGAGGTGGAGAGAGGGAGACGGCGCGGAGGAGCCCAGTCCCGCACCCCAGCATGGCTTCGGGGGACCTTTACGAGGTACCGGGGGCCGCGGGGCGGGCGGGCGGCGGGGGGGGCGCCGGCCGGGGCGCCGCCGAGGGCAGCGGGGGCGCGTTCGGAGCCGCTCCGCCGAGCCCTCGTAGTTGCCGAAGAGCGGAGGAAATCGCCGAGGGAAGGGCTGGGGTGGGGGGAAAAGGGCTGGCGTGTGTGCCCGGGGGGGGCAGGGAGGGATGGAGCGGCTCCCCTCCCTTCCCGCTGCCTCTCTCTTTCTCTTTCTCTCTCTACTTTCCATCGGGCTTGATCTTAGCAGGCCTTGCAAGAGGGAAGGAGGAAGGAGTGAAGGAGAGCGAGAGTTAGCGGTAGGATGGGGAGGCGATCGCGGTGTGATGAGCCCGGAGAGTGGAGAAAGTCCAGGTAAAGTCATAGGCGCTCTGGACGTGCTGAATGTGCAGATTAGTGCGAAAAAATGCGCCTTAGCGCTGCCGGGAGGCGCAGGGATGGAGGCGGCTCTGCGCCCGCTGTGCAAAGTGCAGGAGCCGGCGCCAGGTTGCTTCACCTCCTGCCCGGGGTGCTGCGGGGGTGGCGGGGGCGGCGGCCGGGCCGGGTCCCGGCTCCCCGCGGGCCGCAAAGTTTGGCGGGGGCCCCGCTCCGGGCGGCCCGGGCTGTGAGGTGGGGCGGGCGGCGGCCCCCGGCCCCCCAGCCCGGCGTGCGCTGCCCCCCGGCCGCGGCGGGGCGACAGCGCCGGGGCAGCATCGGGCGACGGCCGCCGGGTCGGGGGCAGGCAGGGAAAAAGGAGCCGGCGGGCTGTGGGTGAGACCCAGCCGAATTTTGACCTCCGGCACCCAGTTCCAATCCCCCAAGTGAGAATGAGTCTAGCCACTCTTGCCACGCCAGAGAAGAAGAAGGGAGAAAGCTGAAATGAAAAATAAGACAGACTGGACATGGGTGTTAGAAATATCCAGTTCCAGTAAGTGGAATCAGGGTGGAAGTGTTAAAAACACCAAACATGACTGGATGTCCTACACTTCTTGGTCTGGAGCACCTCCTGAGGCTCCACATTTCCTGGTGAAATGGCCGTTTGCATTGAGCTTCTCTGGAGTGCACAGTTTAAGACCTAGGACAGAAAACATCACCTTCCAGTTGGAGCTGTGTGTCAGTGATAGGTACTGCTCAACCATCAGGGTGTGCTTGGGTGTAGAACTGCTGCTGTGGTTGGTTGGACGTGGTTGGACTTATTCTCTGTTTGATGATCTTGATGATCAACTGTAGGGTCTCAAGTGCAAGCAGTGCAGGATCTGACAGGTTTCACGTAGACAGTTTTCACTTTGTCATTGTCTTTCAAAGTCTTTAGCAGAGGTCACAGCTAAGGGATGACATTGCTCTATTAGGATGGTGTTTTACTGTGTGTGACACAGACCTCCTCTGAAGTGAGCAGCACTTAAACTCTCCTACGTGGTGTTAAATTATCGGAAGTACATGATGATCTGGATAGTGTCATTGACCTCCCCCTCCCACCCCATTTTGCAGTATCTGTCATTTAACTTGTGATTTTAAGGATATTGTAAGTCAGCTGTGTTGCTGCTGTGACTCCAGAATAGCCAGTGGGAGTTCTGTGAAGAACAATTTTGACCCAAAAAAGTTAGTGATGCACTTCTAGGATTAGTAGTTTCTGGGGTGCATAGAAGATCTTTGCCTGGTGTTGTCTGAGTTTTCTTTAGACATTTGGATTCGTTCTAGAAAGAAATGAAGCTGGTATGTCTTAGGCTAATGGTAGCCATGATGGTTTAGCTCTGACTCATCGTTTAAAAATTCTGCTGTTTTATGATCCTTGTGCTGTATGATGAGGACGTTTGGTAGTTGGATGTGGCAGTGTCACTGTGTGACATCAGGTGAGGTTGCTCAAGTGGTCACCTGGTGTGTTCTGTGAGGGAGCAGACCAACAGCCCAGTTTGCAGGCAGTTTCTTTGCAGGCATCTGCATGGAGGAATGAATTTTTGGTACTGTGGTTCAAAGCCTCTGAATCACTTCCTTTCTTTGTTACTCCCCTCGAAATACTTTTGCTTATCATTGTACAATATGGAAGAATTGTCTCCACCAGAAGAGGTAGGTGGAAGAAGTGTGGCTGTTCCTTTCTTGTTGTGTGAGGTGTTTGGAAAATGACCTCAAGTGGTCATACTGTAAAATCTTCATCCACATGATGGACACTTGGCAAAAATGTGTGCAGGGCTTCATTTGCATTTTGTATCTTCACTGGGAAGTTCTCCATGACAGAGGTCAGAAGAAATGTCTAGAAAGCTGAAGAATTTGAATATCTAATAGGTAGCAATTGTGTAGATGGTAGTGGCTTCATTTAAAATGACTCAGTTTTGCCTCTCTGCTTTTTCCCCTTCCCAAAAAAGCAGCTGCATCCAGGGGATTTATTAGAAAGAAGCTCTTAGAGCTTGGATGTCCCACACCAGTTTGCAAGTGAGATGAAGTGCTTTATGCCCTCAGAGCAGTCCAAGTTCTTGAACAAGTAAAACATTATGTGGACCACAAGATTACCATTAAACAGTTTCAGGATTTTACCTTGAAATAATTTGGGACTGTGGGTGTAAATAAATAATTTGGATCTTATGGTGACATTCCAAAGGTATAGTGCACTCTTGAGTCCCCTTTCACTGATTAGTAATATCCACAACTTTCAAGAATTGTTATTGAACTTCATCAAGTAACACCAATAATTAACTATGCAATTTGGAGGATGTAATACTGGCTGAAAAATTATTTTTAAAGCCAGTCATGACATAGAAGCCCTGATAAAGCACATGGAAAACCTGCAGGGTGTATATTGCTTGTATGAACTCATCACACATTGGTGGTACCCAAGAAACTTTTATAAATTTTGAAGTTTTGGAAGTAGATGGTCATATTTATCCTGTCAGTTCATTCATTTTCTACTGTCATGTCATTTTAAAAGGCTTTTCAACCTTTTAAACTTAAAGATAAACTCAATTACTGCCTTTATAATGAAGCAAAATAAGATCACAGATAAAATAACCTCAGTGTTTGGTTAGGTAGGTGCCTTTTTCCAGTTAGAAATGGCTTTTAATCATCTGAAATGCCTCCTATTACATTTAGGTTAGGAGTGGGAAACAGGCACCAATTTATTCTAGAAGCAAAAGAACACCCATAGGGTTCTGTGTTTCCTGGTAGTCAGTTCTAGACCTGTGTGGTAGAACCAAGACACTTTACAGCCAAAGATAATTATTCCATTGTATGGTAAAATGTAGGTGTTAGTTGTGATGTTTTTAAGTCCATTTTTTCCTTTACCAGTAAAGGATGTTGTGTATGTTTTAGTGTAATTCTCAGGCTATATGAAATACTGGTTTGCCTTTGCTTGACTTCCATGTGCTTATGATTTCAAGCTTTTATGAGTGGGTGAAAGTGTCATGGAATATTCCTTTTTTTTTTCCTTGCTTTTCCTCTTAAGAGGTAACTAAAGACCTATGGTGCATGTTTCCTTAGAAATAATAATCTGAAAATAAAGGACTGACAAAAAGGGTCTTCAGAGTAGCCTTCAGTAAGGCTGCCCTGGTTTGCCTTGTGTTTTACAGTACACTGCTGGATGCATGGACAGGAAATACTCGTTCATTTCAGCAACAGTCAGAAAGGGAAATGTATTTACTTTTAAACACCAACTCTGTTGATTTCACAATAAAGTTTTCAGTAACTTGAAGTAACATTTTTCATGTACAATTCCATGTACATTACCTGAACCCAGACAGTTATCTCACAGACTCTGGTATTTTAAGTCTGTGACATGGCTGTAGAGGGGAAAAAAATTCCATATGAGCTGTGCTCCTAACTTTTTTCCCCGAGCCTGGAGCATCCTTTTTACTGCAATAAAAACCTCCTTTATTGATGAATATGTGAGCCAGTTATCAGTGTTACAGAGATGCTCTTTAAACACATTTCAGTACTTTTTTTTTATTTAATATTTTGAGGGTTGGTATGCAGTGAACACCATTAGACTTTCAGGGGTGAAGTTGAAATCTGAAGTGGTATTTTACCATTGTGGCAGATTGTATTACACCTTTGATAAGTGACCTAAAGTTTACACCCAGTTCTCTGAAAGGGACTTAACATGTACATGCTTCTGTATCACAATAATAAAACCAGTCTTTAAAGCTCAATAGTTACTGCATTAAAGGGAAGAATGACATTTTTAAAAATGGCATCTTCTCACTGAAGTGATGCAATGCCCATGGCTAGGAGCATGTCCACCACAGTGACACATTTCAATTCAATCTTAGCCTGTTTCATCAGCAGTGTAAGAATGAGCTGCAGTTTATTTCAGCTCACATGATCCACTAGAAAGATAAGATACTTCCAGGTAATTGCAACATTTCCCATTTGTACCTGCACTCAGGTACCAGCAAAGTCAAAACTTGAAGATAATAATGGCACTGTTTGGGCTGCTGAATCCCTATGACATGTGGAGACATGCAGATGGGAGAGAACAGGGTTGAGCTTCTGGATGCAAGGTTTGGCTTGAGATGCAGGGTTTAGAAAATCATCTTTGCTTTACAAGGAAATGCAAGTTTTTGAACATTGTGCCTTCCATCTTGCATCTCTTTCAATGGAGTCACTTAGCAGAGATACATACTCAAACCTGCTTATTCAACTGAAAAGCAGAAATCTATTTTTTAATTATTTCACATGTGTATTTTCTAAGACAGAGGTGACTTGGAAGAAGATGGTGTATTTTAGTAAAGATTATGTCTCAAATCAGCCTCTGTATTGATACAATTGCTCTGTGGTGAAGGAATAGGACTGCACAAGCAGAAAACAGTGGCTTGAAGTCGGATTTGGGGAACATAGAACAGTTAAGCACCTCCTCCTGTACACTGGCAAGCTGTGGATGCAATGCTGATTTCAGTAATACTGAGCTGGCACTCACAAGCTATAAGATTTGGTTGTCTGTAAGTAACACCTTTTCAATTTTTTTAGTGCAAAAGCTTTACTAACAACTGTTTTGAAGAATCAGCTATTTATCA